CGCTTTTTAAGGCGGCTTCCCCCCCTCCCCCCCCCCCCCCGAAAACTTTGCCCCGGCTCGTCGTGCTGGATCCACTGCTATCTTAGCAGATAGTAGTGGATCCAGACAGAATGGGTTGGACACTCCTGCATTAGGGCATTTCTTTTGGTCTAAGAATACCAGCACTGAGGCTGTGTCCAGACTCAGGGGTTTTTTCGGGAAAAGTAGCCTTTTCCCGAAAAAACTTCCCCTGCGTCCAGACTCAAGCCGCGTTCTTTCGAAATTATTTCGAAAGAACGCGGCTTTTCTTTCGATGGCGGTAAACCTCGTTTCACGAGGAAGAACGCCTTCTTTCGAAAGTTCCTCTTTCGAAAGAAGGCGTTCTTCAATGTAAATAGGGCTTCCTCGAAAGAGAGCATCCAGACTCGCTGGGTGCTCTCTTTCGAAAAAGCGGATTGCTCTTTCGAAAGATCCGCCTGTAGTCTAGACGCGATCTTTCGAAAGAGGCTCTTTCGAAAGATGCTTTCGAAAGAGGCTCTTTCGAAAGAAGCCTGCAGTCTAGACATAGCCTGAGTGGGGGGATCACACTGTCATACAGGTGTGGGATGAGGAGCAATGGCTACACAACTTTCAGATGCATAAAGCAACTTTCCTGGAGCTGTGGTCTTCCTTTAGCTTTAGCATGTGCTCAGTGGTTTCAGTTCTGATCTGCATCTTCCTAGCTCTTTTCTCTCTCTTCTGTTTGAAGTGTCAAATGCCACAACACATCCTTGAATAGATTCTCCCTTGACCTCCAAGGTTTAGTTGACAGAGCCTTTGTGGGGGAACATGCCTGACATCTCAAGGTCTGGTCTGGAAAAAAAAATCATTGACAATAATGTGACTATTTTTCCTGATAAAGATTGTAACATTTCTCTAACATGCACATCTCTGAATAAAACTTGACACTTGACTTGTTACCCTACAGGCAAACACAGATCTCTCTAAATGCTTTGATCATGGTTAGGGATGTTAGTGGCTAGTCGAGTAGTCGATTACCTGATAAGCATATGGTTATCAGATAGTCGAGTAACTACTCGACTAGTCTCTCCTGGGGAACAGGAGCTGGTGGTGGGAGCAGCTGGCTTGAAAGCTGGTTCCCCATGCCCCCCCCAGCACCATCTCTGCAGGTGGGCAGGGGAGGCACAGGTGCAGTGGGGGACCAGGTGTGAACCAGGAATCAGCTGTCTAAGCTTGCAGCCAGTCACAGATGCTGCACCTCTGCTTTTAAATGCAGTAAGAGCCTGGCAGCTGTTTCTACATTTAAAAGGCAGAGCCATGGCGAGGTTAGCTCCTGAGACTAGGAGCTAACCCCGCTGTTGCTGATTAAATGAAATTGAACATCCCTAATCATGGTAAGTCTTAAAGGTAGAGGCAAAGAGGATTGGGCATGGGTCCCCAAGAAAGTACAGTCTGTGCTTCTGCAGCTGGTGGACATGGAAACAATTTGTAATAATCCTACACTTGTCCACAGGCTGACCTATTCCCTGCTGAAGGTTAACAGGCAAACCTGGCCTCTGCTTCTGGATGCAAGCAGGAGGTGCCCTGCCCCTTATGCAGACAAACTCGAAGGCTACCTTGGTTCCAGCAGCACAGTATGAGGCAAGGTTTGAGAGGGGAAATGGCAGCCCCGTTATGGTGGTAAAATTAAGTAAACCTGGCAAAGCTTCAACACCATCTCCCAGCAAGATTCTATTGATATCTCTGTGTACATCAGTGCTTTGTTTGGATATAATGCAGACAAAGGTAGGGTTTAGCCATCCTTCCCCTTATCACAAAGGGCTCAAGGAACGTAACCATAAATGTTCCAGGTCCTAAGGGTCACTTAGAAATATGATTACACCAATTCTTCACCCCACATATTGATAAGATCCAAAATCTCGGGGGTGCACCAAGTGGTAAAGCATCTTGAGTGATAGCCACCCATTTCCCTGAGAAGATGCCATGAGGACTAAACTACACAATGATCCAGACACGAGGAAATGAATTGTAAAGCGCCTGGGGTTTGCAGGTGGGAGGGACACATCTGTTTGTGACTGCAGAGCAGTGAAGTTCAAAGCGCTCGCCACAGTGGCTAATTGCGTATTGTGGGAAACATGCTGGAATTTAATAAACTCAACAAAAAAACATGGTAAATGATTATATGCTAACATCCCTAGTATACAGTACCATAAGCTTCAATGTAATAATCTTGTGCAACTTGGTGCGAGTGTACACTATTGGTATATGCACTGGACATAATGTATATCCTCCTTTGTGACAACTCATTTTTGCAAGAATGAAGGAATTTATTAAAGCTATTACAGTATTTAAACCTTGGTGAAGTGTCCTAAAAATGTAGCAGGCATAACTGGCCTGAGCTTTTTGAAATGTGCTTGCATAACACTTTATTTTCCTACTCAATAACATAACCAGCATTTTTCCACCACAATCATATTGTACAGCAGTGGTGAGAAGCCGAAGGCCCAGATCTGACCCAAGAGGCTTGGGGCTCCCCCCAAAGCATTGGGGAGCCTGTGTTGGTGCTCCAGGTCCCGATACTGTCTCCCCGTGGAGCTCGAGCGCACAAAATCTCCTAGTCTGAGCACCCCTAGGCTCTGGTGTTCCAGGGGAATGTCTTTCTCCTCAGTCAGGGGACATGTCAGTGAGGGTTTTGTTTTGCTTCTTACTTGTGTGTGGGCCCCCAACTGATTTTTTTTCTGAGTCAGTGTCCCCTAGCCCAAAAATGGTTCCCCATCTCTGCTGTACAGAATTGGCATAGTGATTTTGGAGGGCTAATGCATAAATTGTAGCACCACTAGTGATTGCCCGATGCTTGCTTGTTTCTCTTTCTCCCCACAAATGTCCCAATTCAGATTGAGCTTGGGGAGGGAGGTCTTCCAGAAATATAGGAACCTTTGACTCTGTAGATTTCTTAGGACCCTAAACCAAGCAAATGGGGACAATGAATGTGTGAGATCTTTGCAAAGAAGAGAAAAACTTATGACAATACTCATTTTCATACTTAAGACATCCAAATCCTAAAGATCCAGGCTTTGTGGTCCCTTACAATTGAAGCTGGTAGTACTCAGATATTTTACCAAGGGACTTTGAAGGATGATGCACAAGCTATTCAGTACTACACGAGCAAACCTGTCTGTCCAAAGGTGGTTATCTGAATTACACATTGATTTTTAAACAGTCTTAAGTGCCTGAAAAATGAGTGCTTTTGTTTTTAATGTGTTGTTTTTATCAATACAGGTTGGGCCTCCCTGGTCTCGCACCCTCAGAACCAAGGGAAGTCATATCTGGCTCCCCTGCTACTGGCTCCCCCCAGCCCTGGACCAGCTGCTAGCCTCCTGGTCAGCTGCCCCTTGTCTCACGCTAACTTGCTCATTGTGGCTGCCCTGCCGCTCCCCCCCACTTCCTTCCCGACTATGCCAGGCAGCCCGGTGGTGGTGCGCTGAGCATTTTACCCCTCCAGGCAGCCCTGCAGAAGCACACTGAGCTCCTGGCTCTCCCTAGCAGCCCCCCCGATTGTGCCTGCCTGTCCTGTGGGGAGCCTAACCACCAGCCTTACACAAGGACACTCTGGTCCTGGCACAAACATGGTCCTGCCAGACAATGAATGGTGCCAGACTAGGGAGTCCTGGATTACAGAGGTTCAACCTGCAGTAACTAATATAAATATTCTAAAGTAGTTTTTAGTTCTAACATCAAAAGGAGAATTGAGGTAACTCAATAGATAAAATGGCAGTCTTAAAATAGAACTAACATGTTTTTATATCTCTGAGGTTTGAAATTGAAATAAAAAGTGGCTTTAAAATGTCATTGTCTTTTTATAAATTGAGAGCCCCACCGTAATTTAAGCAAATATGTGGTTGGAAAACTGTTTATAGATTCTCTACAAAGAGATGGCGTTAAACTGTTGGTACTAGTGTGTTTTTCATAAATATTCTAATCTGAGCATAGTAGACATTTGATTTCTCAGCCATACGGATGCATCTTACTGTTGAAGTCTTTTTTCCCCTCGGTGCTTGACTGAATCTTTTTTAAAAATTCTTTTCCATGTACTGGAAAATACATCCTCTTTATTTTGTAATCTCAAAACACTCCTACAATACTATAGTAAAGTATAGGTTTTAGTGTTTAAAAGCTGGTCATTTTGTTTGATTCTTTTGTTTTTCAGCCCCAGAATATTCTGCTAACTAATGAAACTCCTTTGGGAGACATTAAGATAGTTGATTTTGGCCTTTCCAGAATACTGAAAAGCAGTGAAGAGTTAAGAGAAATTATGGGAACTCCTGAATATGTCGGTAAGTGCAGTACAACCTTAGAGTTACAAACTGTACAAGAGATATAAATTGATTAGTCAATCACACACCTCATTTGGACTTGGAAGTATGAAGTTAAGCAGCAACAGACACAAAATAGCATATACGATACAGTACTGTGTAAAAAAACTACTAAAAAGTTTTAAAAAATAATTTGACAAGCTAAGGAAACTTTCTGTGCTTGTTTCATTTAAATTAAGATAAAGGCAGCATTTTTCTTCTGCACAGTAAAACTTCAGAGTTGTATTTAGTCAATGTTCAGTGGTAAACTTGAAAGAACAATCGTAATATCTTGTTCAGAGTTATGAACATTTCAGTTACAGACAACCTCTGTTCCTGAGCTGTTCATAACTCTGAGGTTCTACTGTAGTTACCAAAATGGTGTGTAATACAGTCTTTGGGAAGAAAATTTAAGGTGGTTCTTTATTATATTTTATGCATATGTATATAAATATAAAATTAGCTTGTGAGATTATTATGTTTTATATAAATATCTCCAGTATTATGGTTTCTGCCTTCAAGGATTTGAATATTGTCTGTAAGTAAAGAGTGTATAAAATTGAAGGTTTTTCCTATCATAATTACACAAATTACCGTGTACCAATACATATGTCTTTACATTTTATACAGATCCAAATGCTAAAAGATAAAATTTTTCTGTATGGCACCATCAGACATTAAGAAAAGTTCAGTATAAATATGGGACCATAAGAAAAAAATCTTAAAACATTCAATTATAGCTTTAAAATGAAGTCACTGGAGCCACTAACATCCTTATCCTTAGCATAAAGGCTATAACTTGAACTTACAACTGTCCCCATTATTTGAAAACTAGATTTACCCAATACTGCTCGGGTCTTTAACTCAATTTTTGGTTTTTGGAAAATGAAAATGCTCATGCTTCATTTAAATTATTGCTCTGGGGTGGGGTTGGGGATGAAGGTTCGGAATGTGTGCTACCCCAGGGGGAGAGAGGATTATCTCAGCCTCCTCTGATGGCAGCATCTTGGGGCCAGGTGAGAAATGCTTCTTCATGGCTACTGCAGCTCCAGTGGGCACAGCTGGGAGAGGGGTGCATGGCCCCACGCTGGAGCAGGTCCAGGTTTGCCTGTCTTCTGCACTCCCCAGACAAAGTGAGGAATATAGCAAACTGTGCACTTTCCCCTTGTTCTCTGACAATGGGAATTAGCCAGCAATGTTCCTGTATAAATTGGGGGAGTTCCCCCCACCACCACCCACTAAAGGGCACCTGAGGGGAGGGAGGCTTGAAGCTGGCAGTCCCAAAGGGGGTTATATCTGTAGCCAGCACTTTTCACCTGACTGGTAATTCTGTCTCTCTTCTGTATGGTTTTTAGGAGACTCAGTCCCGTTCCCAGTACACCCCATTTTCCTGGCACAACCAAACTTAATTTATTTTAAGTTATGATAAAAGAAAGACACCAAATTTGGTGATCCTAGCTTTTTACTGTTTAGGATGAGTTCTTGAACAGACACACAAACTCAAATATATAATAGTTAACAAATTTTCTGTGAGAGAAAGAAGCACTTGTTTGATTATTTGGAATTCATAGCATGAGTTGGTCCCTGAAATGTTTGCAGTGTGGTGGAAATGGGGACACAATTGACATCTGGCTTTAGAACTAATAGTCTCAGAAGAAAATATCTTTTCTGCCATGTTCAATAATGAGATCCTCACCACTATCAGTAGAATGCACAATAATGCTCTAACTGATCCTGGGCCTGTGTGTTGGAACCGCTGAGGATTTTTAGAGCTGTTCGTCAGAGGTATGAGTGTTTGCCAAACTGATATGAGATATTTTTGTAGGTGACTTCAGTTTCCACAGGATTAGAGCTAGTAACGACCACTCACATTCTGAATTGTTTTAGTTGCTAGTAGGAAAGATTAGCCAGTCATAGGTATCCCACATAATAATAATTACATGAAGTGCAAATGTGATAGATCATAGCAAGTCCTAAAAGTAGCCCATCCACTAAAGATGCTTTTTGACCAGTTGGTCAGTATATACCTTTTGTGTTCAAGTTATAGAGGTTACTATACAATAAAACTTGTTTCAGAGGGGTAGCCGTGTTAGTCTGGATCTGCAAAAGCGACAAGGAGTCCTGTGGCACCTTATAGACTAACAGATGTATTGGAGCATAAGCTTTCGTGAGCAAAGAAATGCATCTGACAAAGTGGGTCTTGGCCCACGAAAGCTTATGCTCCAATACACCTGTTAGTCTATAAAGTGTCACAGGACTCCTTGTCGCTTTTAATAAAACTTGTATAGTTTTTGCACAATAGGTGATTTTAAGACTTTTAAAGTCAACATTAAAGCAAATGTAATAATAAAAAAGAAAATAGATTATGTGTTTCATTGAACAATTATAGTGATCCATTATAGATTAAGTTTAACTTCATACAGATTTTTTTCAAATATTCTCATAATATTCTAGATGATGCGAGCTGGATTTCATTGTTCAATCTTCAAAATTACCTAATTTTGCTTTGTAATGCTGGCTTCTAAAGTACAAATTTGCATGTAAATGGGTAAATATAAATTAGTTCTGTTTTGAACAAAAACATAACTTATCTTATGCTTTTTTCAAAATAGCTCCTGAAATTCTGAGTTATGACCCAATCAGTACAGCAACAGACATGTGGTAAGTGTTGCCTTGAATATTTACAACTTTCCCAAAATTGAGCTTTAAACATCTTTTCTTTACTTTTTCTGGTTTTTGTTTTCTGTTTTTTAAATTTAGGAGCATTGGAGTACTAGCGTATGTCATGCTAACAGGGATATCGCCTTTCTTAGGAGATGATAAACAGGAAACATTCTTAAATATAGCACAAATGAACATAAATTATTCCGAGGAAGATTTTGACCTCATATCAGAGTCTGCTGTGGATTTCATCAAAACCCTTCTGGTTAAGAAACCTGAGTAAGTTAAAGAGACTAAATGAGTTCTAAATACAACTGCCAGCTAAATCAAAGCATTGTCCGAGTCATACAGGGTATATCTACACTGCCACCCTAGTTCGAACTAGGGTGGCTAATGTAGGCATTCGAAGTTGTAAATGAAGCCCAGGATTTAAATATCCCGGGCTTCATTTGCCTCTTGCTGGGCGCCGCCATTTTTAAATCCCGGTTAGTGCGGACTCCGTGCCCGCGGCTACACACGGCACGGAGTAGGTAGTTCGAATTAGGCTGAATTAGGCGTGGAATGAGGAGTACCGATAGTTCGAATTAGAAAGCCTAATTCGAACTACCTTCTCTGTGCCGCGTGTAGCCGCGAGCACGGAGTCCGCACTAACCGGGATTTAAAAATGGCGGCGCCCAGCAAGATGCAAATGAAGCCCGGGATATTTAAATCCTGGGCTTCATTTGCAACTTCGAATGCCTACATTAGCCTCCCTAGTTCGAACTAGGGTGGCAGTGTAGACATACCCACATAGACTAGAGATAGTGTAAGTGAAGATCTGCAGTAAACACTGACTTGCACTTCTTTGCATATAACCACATTTTATGTATACAGAAAGCCCCATTCCCCATTTTTCACAAATGAATGCTGCAGTGTGTTTCCCAAACAGAAAGCTCAAATACTGGACTGTCCGGTTCAAAACCGGACACCTGGCAACCCTAGTTAAAAATATATTTTTATTTGTGAACTAAGCAGATTTGACTTGGTTGCTATTGGGAGGCAAATGTGAAGCTCCACAATGCTGCTTTTGTTCTGAAAAGTATCGGTAGCATTTTATTTATTCCTTCCTCAGCAACTGTCTGCATAGTTCCATAGAGAAAACAACAGCAAGCAACATCAAGAATGCAGTTTTCACAGTTTGGTATAAATCATTGTGCATAATTAGACTGCCCTAAATTGTAGATTTCCTACGATTTGGTAGTTAGCACTGTATATAAAACCAGTAGATTAGAGAATTCAAAACCTTCAGTTGTTTTAATGGGCTGCTGTTACTCCTGACTGACTTTCTTTGCAATTGATAGATATTAGAACAGTTGTGTTAGCTCCATAGCTGATCTGTAAGTCCTATTTAATGCAGAGTTATATCCCTAGAGAAATATAATTTCTTTCTAGTTCTTATCCAAGGGCTTGAATTTAGTATTCCTCTTTAGACATGCCCTCTGGCATTCTTTTGAATGAGCTTTCTTTTCTCCATAGGGAACGGGCAACAGCTGAAGAATGTCTGCAACACCACTGGCTAGCACAAAGTGATATTCCAGACCTTGTGTGCAGCACTAAGAGTACAGCAGAGGAGATAAATACTGTCATCCAAAAAGATGGAACTTTTGCCTCTGAAAATTCTGTCAATGCTGAGAGAACTGAAGAGGATACATTAGTGACCGAGGAACTAATTGTAGTGGCTTCGTATACACTGGGACAATGTAGGCAGTCAGAAAAAGAAAAAATAGCTGAGCAGAAAGCCATTTCCAAACGATTTAAATTTGAAGAACCATTGCTGCAAGAAATACCAGGAGAATTCATTTACTGAACTGTATGGGACCTTGTAACTATAACTTAAAGGGAAACGTTCCTACAAAAATGTTCATGCCCAAGTGAATCTCACCTTGATATGCAAAAAACTTTCTAATTTGAGAAAAGGCAGTTGAGAGAACAGTGCCAAGCTTTTAAATTCATAGGATGCTTAAACAAGATTTCAAAGGTGGCTGACAGGAATTCAACAGCAATAATGGCTTACTTTCAGTTAGGGAAGGTTGGAAGTTTTCACTGTACTTGATATTCCTTTCCCCCTCCCCCGTCCATTTTATCTTCAGATAGTAGGGAATACCTGCTAGCAGTTAATGTTCTCGAGAAACTGATGGTATGAGGAGTTTCATCAATGACAAAAATGCTAAGACACGTTTTTGGATTAATTTCCAAACACAGGAAAGGTTAATGAATAAACCAGAGGCCCCATCAAATACCTAATGGCACCAATTTTATATTGAAATTGTCACTTTTTGCAATTAAACACAAGACTAGATTTGCCTATGATATTCCTTTTTTACTCTGATCTAACCCAGTGATTTCAGTGGTTGACTTCTGATTAAGAATGATTTGAGAATAGTCAGGTCAACTAGATCTACACTCCGTTTTAATATTACAAATTTTGGAGTTGCGGCTTTTCTGGAAGAGTCATTGTTGTGACTCATCATTCCTCTAATTTCTACCTGTAGAGGAGAGAAAGTTCACAAACTCAGTTGTATGACCCTTTCTGTTTACCCATCAGCTGAGGAAAGAACTCCTCATTCCCTGAATAGAATAAAATGTTGTCTAAGAAGCAGCTATCCTTCAGATACAGGGTAAAAAGGTATAAATCTATGACTGGACAAAGAGGATTGGACAGCTGAAGCGATGTGACACAGTTGTCAGTGGGGTTGGTCCCTCTTTAGCATAATCGAGACACCAGCTAGGCAGCAAACTTCTGCCAGGACCTCAGTTTGAGCCCTTAGTTTTCTGAGATGTTTCAATATCAATACAGTTCCAAAGTTTCATTTTTGTGTAATTGAAGTTTACTGCTATTATCTTACGTACTGTTAATTGTTCCAACTATTTATTTAGTTTCCTTATGTTGACAATTCCTTAATAGTATATCCTTCATAAAGTTTTCTTGCTGACAGACCACAAATAGGAACATGATTAATAATCCAATTTTTTTCCTACTCTCCTACAACACAAACCAAACTGTGCTTGCCATTTAATTCTTCGGTACTACCAACCTGAGATTCCTGCTACTAAATTCTAATCTTGAAAATTCTGTGTTCATACAGTTGATAAATGGTGGCTTTTTCTAATAAGCACAAGTAGGTTTCATTATAGATTCTTGTATGAGCTGTTTAACATAGTTGTCAGAAATCAGGGAAGAGATGTTAAACACAAAAGAAAATGATAAGCAGTGTGATCTAGAGGAAAAAGCTGCATCTTTCCTTAGTGGCTCCAAGCTGGCAGTTTGATCGATTGCTTTCAGCTGAGGCCACAGAAAAATTGCATCTATAAACTACTATATTCCAATGTACTTTGCTCGCTTTGTCCCTGCTGAATGATATACTGAATATTCATGTAAATAGGGCAGCATCACAGACCTTTCATAAAGTGTACAGTAGTTGTTTACTCAAAACTGAATAAATCATCCATATTGTATAAGTAATTTGTTTAAAGCACTTAGATTTGTACATTTGTTACATTAAGATTACTCCTCATGCAAACAATACCCATCAAGATTTATATTATCAGAGTTAAGTTTTCAAGCAAGATTTTGGATAACTATGGAAAAACTACCAATAAAACAAAGTAAGGTTATTTGTGTCCTGACTTACATTCTAGATTTGTCTTTATAGATTATGGAAATGACGAATAGAGGTCAGAGTACAGAATGTTATTTGGTGGACTCAATGCTGAGCCCTACAAAACATTATTACATGCATTCAGGAGTTGAAGTTCTCGCTCAGTATTCTCTGTCCTTACACTTGGATAACTTGACCAGAACAGCTGTGTTGGTCAGGATATGCCAACTCTCAAAACTCTCATCAGGCACAACCAAAATTATAACATCTAACCCACACACATAAGTGTCCAGAGAAATTTGAATTATTTTTACATTTCCTTGACTGACGCAATGTGAGCAGTAAAAATTAGATGTGTACATATGCTCAATCTACACTATCTAAAATAGAAAATAACGAAGAGGGAACATCTGACTTAGTTGGTATTCAGATATCTGAACGTGGCAAACAATTTGTAATTTTCAGTTAATGGTATTTCATTACAGAATCGTGATGCAGGATCCTTAAAACTTAATTCCTGTGTGTACCTATTGGATAGACTTAATAGTGAATTCTCAATAATGCAAGTCAAGGGGAAATGTTGAGCTGCATACCTTTGGTCCTATGCCTTTTAGTTTGTATGATAGTGAAACTTGAAAACATATTTAAACTAAATTAGTTGTGTTTGTTACAAGGCCAGCTTCTTTTGAATTGGCTGCTTTGAGATTTCCAATGTGCTGTATTTGTTTAACTTTGTGCCTTAATGTGGATTTGTACAATGCTTTGTCGTTTTCTGAATTTGTATAAATTTATGTAAAAGTTTTAGTTTATAAGTTATAAACAAAGCATGTTAAGTTGGTCTATATAATGAGAAAATAAAGTTTCTGTTAATGTGTTGCAGAGCCATGAGCCAATTTCACAGACATCTGAAGCTTTAAGTTATTTCCATTCAATTTCTAAATATATACCGCTGTAATTGCGGTATTGCTATTTCTAAGTCAAAGAAAGGCTCTATTCAGTTCACTTTGTATTAATAGTGTGTATTTTGGGTACTACTTATGCCAAGATACAAATTGGAAAAAACTAAGCATGAGAACATACCTCTTTGATATGTAAAAATAAGTTGATTCTTTGTACTGAAATTGCAGTCCCCATTCCATTTTTACAGACCTAAAATATTTTAGCATCTTCCATGGGGCACAGGTACTATGGTGATGCCTGGGGAGATTGTACAGCATACCAAAACATTGGGCTGACTGGAGGGATCTGTAAGAAGGTGGTGGTGGAAAACAAATAGCTTAGCTGGCTTTTAGAAACGTAGATAATACTTAGCAATTTCAAGTCTCTTGCATTGTGGACGTGCACTGATATTCTGGTCTGTTCCACCACAAGTATTATGTGTACTATATAATAGTGAAAAGTAATGGTGGCATGAAAACTGGAACGTGTCTAGAATAAATAAGAGCATAAAGCAGTGTTAGCTGGATTCTGGATTTGAGAACTGACTTCAGAGATAGTGCTGTGGCTATAGCTTTTGTAATTACAGAGTTTAATTACTATAGTTCTGTAGTTAAACACAGAAAAGACCTAATTCAATAATTGTCTGCTAGCCAGTGCAAGATTGTTAAACTAAATGGCCGTGTCTAGACTGGCAAGTTTTTCCGCAAAAGCAGGTGCTTTTGCCGAAAAACTTGCCAGCTGTCTACATTGTCTGCTTGAATTTCCGCAAGAACACTGACTTCCTACTGTCTGAAATCAGTGCTTCTTGCGGAAATACTATGCTGCTCCCGTTGGGGGGGAAAAGAGTCCTTTTGCGCAAAGCTTTTGCGCAGAAGGGCCAGTGCTCAAATTTGTTTTGCGCAAAAAAGCCCTGATCGCAAAAATGGCAATCTGAGCTTTGTGCGCAAAAGTGTGTCTAGATTGGCATGGACTCTTTGCCGCAAAAAGTGCTTTTGCGGAAAAGCATCCGTGCCAATCTAGATGCTCTTTTCTGCAAATGCTTTTAACGTAGCCAATCTGTAGTGTTCTGCATTTCAAGTTACTACCTTTTATGTACTTTCACCTTCCAACCAAGAGTCCCAACAACTCGATAAACAATAATGAATTTTAGTTTCTTCATAACTCATGAGGTGAATGCACCTTTCATTTTATAGACACGGAAAATATAGACATTAAGTTAATTGCCTGTTCTCTCAAAGAGGCTGATAGAATTGGAAATGGAATACACACTACTGCACTCTGTCCTGTGCCTTAATGTCAAGATGTTTTGCACAGCAATTTAGCTGAAGAGGCTCCTACTAGGAGTATGGACTGCACTTTTAAGAGCAGAGCACACAGTAGGAATAACGGGTTGCAATGATTGAAGTCAGCTTTGCCAGATACCTTAGCTGGGAGCACATGGCTCTTTGTCTTATGTAATTATGTTTTAGTTCTAATAAAGCCTTACTTCTAAGAGTCCAGATTATGCCTCCTTTTTATAACGCTACAAGAGAATTCATGGTAGCAGAGTGAGGACAAGGAAAAGGACTGTGGTGAAAAAAAATAGGAGTTAGGTTGGAGATGGAGTAATTGTAGAAATATGAAGAGTATTGCATACCTCAAATGAAACATTGTAACTTTTACCTTTAGAAGACAAAAGAAAAGGGAGTCCTTTGAAGAACACCTAACATAGCTGAAGCTAAAAAGCCAAACCTGCAGCTACAGACTGTTGACAGATTCAGTTTATAGGTGACCTTTGTACTTACAACCTAATTGGCTCCTGGAGAACCATTGTAAGTTGAGCCATCATAAGTCAAACCCTTTTTTTCCCATAGGCGCAATGATAAAAATGGGGGTTCCATTTCTGGCCCGCTTTGCCTCCTGGGAGTTGTAGTCTGCAGCATGAACTGCTCCCAGAGCCGGCCGGGGGCTGTGCTGGAGGAAGGCAGCAGCTGGAGCAAGGCAGTTGTAAGTCAGGAGTCACCTGTGTAAGGGATCGAATTGTAATATGACTCAGTGATCCAAAGCTGCAAAAAGCGCTATTGGGAGATAAGACTGACACAAAGCAGTAATACTGTGTCAGGGAGTCAAAAATAACTAAGGAATACAAATAATGGAAGAAAAACAGGACCCTGACTCTGGACAGAACAACAAAAGCAAAAGGTTGGCAGGCTGTAAGTCAATACAGGGGGAAAAAAAACCCAGAAGCAGCAAAAAAGCAAAGCTTTAGAGTATGCACCGCTTCAAGGAGTGCACATGATTTGTACATAAGCACAGACCTCCACAATGCCCAGAGTTTGGTGAACAGTACAATATTGTGGGAAATAACATTTTACCAAACACTGCAACCAGAATCATCAGATGCAGAAGCAGCATAGCATTCATGGTGAGTAGTAAACCAGACAGAAGAGGAGTTCTATCTAGGAGCTATATCTGAAGAGAAAGGAAGAGATGAATGGGAAACCTATTTTAGAGACTAAAGGGACATTTATTACCTATAAACTGGACTCATAAGTTTTAAATTTTTAGTATTAAAAGACTGAAGGAAGAAAACAGGGAACATGGTGAACACGCAGGTTAAACTGAAAGCTTGTAACGGGGAACTCAGTCATACTTAGAGGTATGTTATACTAGAAGGGAAGGTAAAAGATCAAATAGAATTGCTAAACTTTGCAATAGTTAAAATGGAATAAAGCACCTATAGTGTGTTTAAAAACATGCTAAGCCCTGCAACGGATACAAAGGAGGCACACAGGTGAGGAGATAAGGGACACATTATCTGGAGCATTTGATTAAAAACTGAAGCAGCAATGGGGATGGTGCATGTGAGCTTGATAAAGAATTGGCCTGAGAGAGGATGTGAAATGAATTAGCAGACACTACAGCTAATGATGTGATTTCACAGAGACTGCATCTAGACTGGCATGATTTTGCGGAAATACTTTTAACTGAAAAGTTTTTCCATTAAAAGTATTTCTGCAAAAGAGCATCTAGATTGGCACGGATGCTTTTGCGCAAAATCATCCATAGCCAGTATAGACGCGATTTTGCACAAGAAAGCTCCGATGGCCATTTTAGCCATCAGGCTTTCTTTTGTAAAAAATTAAGGTGCCTGTCTATACTGGCCCTCTTGCGCAAGTATTCCGTTAAAAGCATTTGTGGAAAATCATGCCAGTCTAGATGTAGCCTCTATGTTGCCACAGGTTTACTTGTTTTTAAAAAGGAGAGAAAAACTGTTTGAGCAGCCTGAAAATGAAGCTTCTTTCCTGTATTGTGTATCTCATGCAGCAGCACGAGTAAAACATTTAACATCTTAAACACACTAAAACTGTTAATTCCTTTGCTTTCTTTTAGAAGCAGGATTCCAAAAGCTACCTCACTTTTGATTCCATGCTGGCTTCCTCAATCAAGCCCCCTAAGCTGTGTATAGTAATGTACTCTACCTCATAACCGCCTCAATATACCCAGTCACTGTACAGCCTCACATTCCTCATAAAACCTATTGTCTGATAATCATAGCTGAAATGAAAGATTGTTGTTTGAACGGGAGGGCAAGATGGAATAAGAACAGCTTTCTGTTTAAAAACCTCTCTTACCTTTACCTTATCCTTTACATTAGGTCAGTCACCTCATGAGCAATACAGCAGAATCTCACAAAGATTTTGCTTGTCTGAAATAGGCGTTTGTAATAATTTATAATAGCATTCCTTTTATGTGCTAATGTGTATGCACAACTTGCTTATAATAGTATTTTGATGCTGTACTTAGCACTATGAGAAAACTGTCACCTATGTAGATTAGTGAATGCCGCAATAGGACACCTTCAAATATTAAAATGATCTAAGGGTTAATAAGAATGCAGTAAGTACAAAAAAATCTATTTGCTAGTGCCTGCTAGGCCTAGAAATATTTAGCTTACCCCCTTTAATGTCATTTCAGAATTGTATTGAATAAAAAACCTTGAAACTGAAGAGTGTAAGTCACTGAAAAAAGTCAAGTTCAGAATAGTAAGTGTTGGTGAATTGCATATAAAATTCATTTAAGACATATACTGGATCAGATCTTTTGATCCTTGCTAAGTTCTTGGTCTCAATGAATGTGTGGCTCTGAGTTTCACAGTCCAACTATGCATTGGGGGGGGGAAGGGGGAGGGAAAGTACTTCCTTTTTATTTTGAAGATGTCACTTTAAAATTACATTTACAGTTTGTGTTTTTGACCCATGCAGTCACACTTCAAAGTAAAACTATAATGTTCTATTTACATAAGACAAATAACAGATGCTACATGCTAATCAAGAAGAAAACTATACCAAGGTTAAATAACTGACTAGATAGAAAAGCCTCAATATTTCTTCTAATAGGTAGTAAAAAAAAGTTCCATAACCATTCACTTACCACAATCTACCCAAGAAAAATGGAGGGAAGTAACTTTTATTCCTTTTAAAGGCATGCTTCCCTACAGATTTGAGAAAGCTTGCTGGTAATGAGTTAATTGTCTGCTTGTTTTGAGTTGCTGTGATTATAGCAGATTTGGTCATCCTGCCCTTAGATCTTTGTTATGGTTCCAAGGTACGTGCACCTTTGACTTTCCCTAGCCCCCACAATTTGCTCCAGGAATGCGCTCTCAGCAGTCTAGCCTCAACCTTTCACAAGACACACCTGTACAGCTTCCCTAAAATTTACTGTTTAACCTAGCAAGTCTCACTAACCCCCTTATCCCCGGTGTTTGCTCTCTCTGCAAAGGCTATGTATATAAACAGCTGTTGTGACCAGAGCAAATCTATTTAAGACAAAAGCACATAAAGAAAACACACCCACACACTTTTTAAAACAAAATCTTAACATACCAGAAGGTGTCTCTCTTCCATGGGGGGCATGAAGGCTGTCAGCTTCTAGTTCTTCCAATGCTTCAGCAGGGATGGGCCTGCCTTGTCATGGCTGCTTCTTGAAACAGTACGATGGCCCCTATGTCAGGTTAAATTTTTTTTTTGTACACAAAAGGTACAAAGCAGGGCAGTGTCAGTTGCCATCTGGTGATGGTAGATTGAGGCTATGCATAATAGAAGACTTTTAGGTAGCTTATTAGTGACATAACTTTAGTGCCCTTAGCCCCAATCTGTGATACACGGGGAATGGATTTAGAAATTAAGTGACTTACCCCATATCATCCAGGAAGCCGGTGATAAAGCTGGGAGTTGAACACAGACCCTCCTGCATCTCACTCTCATGTATTTGCTACAAGGCCCTTCCTTCACTAGAGCTATGCACCTGAAAATGCACCCATATTCTACTACTTAGCATTTGTGTTCAACATACTGTATACACTAACACACAACAACACTGGACTCACTAATCCATCTGTGTCACATTAAAGCACACATTAATTCCCCATTTCTTCTTGAATGGTCCCAATGCAATGTGCCACATTGTACTTAACTATGACATGCTGACTATCTTTCCCAGACTTAAAGACTAGCTGATTTTATACCGAAGCCCTCTATTGTGTTGGGTCTTTGGTTCCTGCTTGAATCAGGAGGTGTTTATAGTTTCAGGGGTCTCCATAATTATCCCCCATTATTTTTAATTTCTAAAGGAGCTGTATAACTCTCCCTCATGGGGTAGAATTAGAATGCATTGCTTAACTTCTAACAATTCATAAAATTAATACATTCATTCCCAAAGATGCTGCATGTGGATTACAGCATCTGTCATGGTATGAACAGAAGTAGCTGCAAAAGTATTTCTTGTGTGGATTAATTTGTTGATGTCCTCCTGACAATTAGGTTGTGTAATACCTTAGGAAGAGCACCTCTCTGCTTTGTGAACCAGCACTGGCACAATGTAAGAAACCCTCCTGAACTGCTAGGCCATCGGCTTAGTGGTTTGCTATTGTCCGGCAGATCGTCAGGGTGAATTGGCATACCTGGTAGACCAACTATTTTGCTATTTAAGCAAAATAGACAATGCTGTTTACTTGTGATATATTAAATACCTAAAAAAAGCATTTTGTTGGCACAGATTTATAAGGAAGTATTTGTATTAAGATTTTTAAAAACAACCTGATTCTCTCCTGACATCCAGTGTTCTTATTTTTGTTGGTGTAAATATGTTGCGAGAGCCACTTTGCATAGGCAAAAATGACTACACAAAAGGTACAAAGCAGGGCAGTGTCAGTTGCCATCTGGTGATGGTAGATTGAGGCTATGCATAATAGAAGACTTTTAGGTAGCTTATTAGTGACATAACTTTAGTGCCCTTAGCCCCAATCTGTGATACACGGGGAATGGATTTAGAAATTAAGTGACTTACCCCATATCATCCAGGAAGCCGGTGATAAAGCTGGGAGTTGAACACAGACCCTCCTGCATCTCACTCTCATGTATTTGCTACAAGGCCCTTCCTTCACTAGAGCTATGCACCTGAAAATGCACCCATATTCTACTACTTAGCATTTGTGTTCAACATACTGTATACACTAACACACAACAACACTGGACTCACTAATCCATCTGTGTCACATTAAAGCACACATTAATTCCCCATTTCATCTTGAATGGTCCCAATATAATGTGCTACATTGTACTTAACTATGACATGCTGATTATCTTTCCCAGACTTAAAGACTAGCTGTGTGTTGCTCAAAAGTGTGACTCTTCCAACAACAGGAGTTGGGCTGATAAACGAGCCTGACCATATCAGTTCTCCTAGCCTGGGACCAATATGACAAATATTCATAGTTGTTGGACCATTGTAAATATAATTACTTCTAACTAAAGATCATCTTGCCTTGAGTATCAAGCTATTTGTCTTTCTCCTTCAAGGTTATGAATTCTCAACACTGGATGATATTATTGAGCTCATGGACAGGCAGGAGGGGAAAAAACCCTAAAGAAATCTGGCAACCACATGAGATGGTCAGTAATCAACACATTTCTGGAAAGCCATTGGGAAAGGGAATACAGTATTTTGCAAACCAGTGTAAGATGAGCAGTTGGTTACTTCTGAATTGTATGGATGATGAAGAGTGAATTTTATTTACCAGAATAGAGGTTTAATCCCTTTTAAATGCACTGTTAAAATGAATAAAACTCAGACAGTAGCCGAGATCTGGATTAGGGTTGTTTAGCAAATGCCAATACAATATAGTTACAATGCATGAACTATCTATTCATTAGCAAAATGAAGTAGCAAACCTAGATATTCTAGTTCAGATGTTTTTATTTCAGTGTATGGAAAGACCAAAGGGGTGAGGGATGACATGCAGGATCCTTTCCTGGGGTTAATTCTGTCTTTTAGCAGCTGCTGGAGGTTTCAAGTAGTTGTTACCCACAGTGCACCAGTTCTTTTGGTTTCTTCCTAATGCACCTGACCTCTTTAAATCAACAGCTGTGGCATGGGCTGTGCCTAATGGAAACCATATGTAGGAATTAAATGATTGTGTAAGAAGTCAGGTTCCTGTCTTTGTTGTTGGTGGTGCAACACCAGTAGGGGAGAGGAAGCTACTACTATGACTGTCCTCTACTTCATTCAGGATCAGCAGGTATGCTAGAGTACATATGCTGATAGATTTGTAAAAGCAGGGCTTTTAAATGTAGTTGAAATGCAGCCCACTTCATTCTCAATTGTTATATTGCAGTTACTTGCCAGTACTTACTTACAGTGTCTCCAAAACACTCTCTATTCTCTGGGTTTGGAGAAAAAAAAAAGATTTCAAGGAAAGAGGGTGTGTGAAGGAAAAATGAATAAGGCATGAACTGTTAATGCTCCCTTAAAATGAACATATGTATCAGACAAAATGAAAATGGACTATTACAATTAAAGGGGAAGTATTGGCAGAATTGTACAGGGAAATACAGGGACCTTTAAGAATCCTCCTGATTCCCAAAAACAAATTGAAGTGTTTTAAAAAAATTCCTAGTTTGTCCTCAAACACTATGTGAGAGCCCTTCCCCCAGGATCCTGAATACCGGAGGATTGAATCCTTGCACTATGGTGTTCACCTGTTCTGACTCAAGAACAAATAATGGCTCTCTCAAGTCCTTTTGAAGCTACAGCTGGAACAGAGTGTACATCTTGTCACCTTTAAAAAGAGAATGCAAAGGTGGTGAGATGTAAATATCCAAAGTACTTAAACCTGGGGTTTTCAGAGGGGACTATGGAAGCTAGTTGTCCAGTTCTCAGTGGCTGAACTTCCTAAGCCTCCTTTTGGAAATTCCAGTGGGAATGAGCACAGGTTGGAAATGAGTGGAACTGTTCTGCATGTAAGTACAGGATATAACATGAAGTTATACATGGAAATGAGAGGAACAGTATAGCGGGGGGAGGGGATGGGTTAGTCTGGAGTTAGATTTCCTAAACCATTTCATTCTAAGAAGGCTTCAATACCTTTTGTATCTGTGGATATGAAAGAGTCAACTGACAGAGAGGCTTGACCTTTGAATTGCAATATTCATATTCTCACAATTCTTCACAGTTTAGGCTGGATGGGATTTTTTTACTCACCATCACCACTGTATGTCTCAGAAGTGCCTATCTCTCTTTCCTTCTACTCCTGCACCCTGAAGTAAAAAGGATATCCATCAGCTTCTGTTATTTATCTTGGTCTTGCGCTGGTTTTCTCAGGCTTCTGTGTGTCATGCTGATGAATTTAACTTCTTTCTCTACTGTTCAAAGTAATGTTTCTCTAGGTTATTCCTCTCACCAGATGGTGACCATGTTATTACTTCACATGGAAGCTAGGCTGATGGTATCCTTAGAGGATGTATTTAAAAAGTTTATTTTCTTTCTTGCCCTGTTTGATGCTTTAAGTTGGTATGCTTTTAGAACTTTTAAGGTTGTAATAAATTCTAATACTTCTGAACATTTTCAGTAGGCATTTACTTAGGAATGAACTGAATTTATCAGTAGGTGTTGTACATTTCCATGTCTCTGCTGTATAGAGGAGGACAGACATTACGCCAGTGTAAAAAAAAATATTTTTGCATCACTGCTAATCATGCTAATTTTCCAAATCTTTTCAAGTTTATGAAAGTGCAATTATTCTTTTTGCCAGCCATATTTTATTTTTGTAAAACAGTGATTTCTCTCCCCAACCTAGATCTCATTATCTTTCCTTGTAAAGATAGTTGATTAGAGGAGTTGGCCACTGATTTACTTCCCCTAAAAAGACGAAACCACCTATAATTTTGTTTGCCTGAAAATGTGACTAGTCACCTAGACTTAGAAAGCGAATCAGCTGTCCAGATTTGAGGTTCCTAATAATAACGCTGTTTATTGGAGAGGGTCTTTAAAAAAAATCATAGCACATACAAGATACAACAATGTGATATTCTGGAACAGTAAACAGTTTTGTAAAATCTTTATTTTGTGTTTTTACCATATACACAAATAAAAAATAATGAAATGAACAATACCAGGACTGAGCTCTGTGCTAGAGGAATAATTGGATGGTAAGATGGTCCATTTAACTGAAATTGTCCATTTGTGACACAACTGAATGGATATAATAATACACAACCAATCAAATCCTCAAGTGCCCATGATGTACTGAATGGACATAATAATACGCAACCAATCAAATCCTCAAGTGCCCATGATGTGCAAAAGCAACTGTCTTCGTTTTCACCCCTCCTGTGTGTTGGTGCTTTCCACACATGAATGGTACACTGGAATATTCTGACCATCCCTGAGTCGCAAGGTGACATCTTGGAGACGCCAGCTGATACAAACCAAAAGAGCATTTGACTAATCGATAGATTTCATACTGTGATGATGTCAAGTATAAAAACACTAACAGCAAGAGCCAAATCATTAGTGCAATTAAATGTGCTTAAGGAAGATTTGCAGATGCAAATCTCTAAAAAGACAGTTTCCTTAATTGCTTAACGGACCAGGGGACTACAGATCATGCTTCTGTTACCATCTGCTGCAGTACCAATAAAATCCTGGCAGGGTGATGGTTAGAGTTTTGGTTTTGTTTTATGATTTCACCTGTCGTCCTCTTTTTACAGTCAGCCATTTCTGCCTATCAGGACTGAGGTTGAGTAGTCTTTCTCTAGTTGCTGACATTGGATGTAGATCACATGGCTAAAGAATTATCCTAGTAAAGGAGGCTCGGACATCACGTTGTTATGGAATATGATTGTAGACACGAGTTATGCAAAGAGAACAAAAAGGTTCATTTAGAGAAAAAGCTGCTCTTTTTGAATACTCAGAAGTGCAACTTCTGCTCTTCCACGTTCTGTTCCAAGCCCACTTTCTCTGCAGACTATTGATATTTATCTGCCAACCACTAAGCACGTTCTTCTTTCAGCACATGTCACTGTGGGAAGCACACGCACCTGTGCGCTCTCGACTGGAGAATGCGAATCAGCATCCATGGGCTTGCACTGAGGGGAAAACCTCAGACCTCGGTTGGCCTAATTGTGCCGTTAAAGCAAGTAGAAGAGCTGTCCAGAAAACAAGAACTCCATTTTGGGGGGAAATTGCATAGGGTTTCAGCATCTGTTTCCATTTCAATGCAGAACAGAATTTCAAAATTTTGACAGAGAAAAAGAAAAGCACAAAATAGCCAGGTTAGGGCAGGCATCTGGATAAATCGGTTAGATCAGGGACTGGAATTGGGTCTACCACATCTACATGAGTGCCCTGGTTCCTGGTTATAGTGGGTGGTTTGTGCTTTCTGATTTTGACCAGAAATTTTATCTTGGGTCTGGGAAATGTTTCTGATACAGTTAAATAAAGTTTTCTGCAAATACCTTAGGTTTCAATCCATCGGCATTTTCTGGCAGAAAAAAAAACATGTTGTGTACTGTCAAAGTTCCTGAGCAGCACTAGTCAGCAGCAGCCATTGACTTAAGTGAGAATGGTACCAGGTCAATGCTAACTACAGGATTGAAAACCCAAGACATATGGCAATACAATGAACTTGCTGCATCTTTGTTTGAAGAATCTGGAGTGTGGTCCCTCAAGGTCAAACTTTCAAATATTCTCATTTTCAAAAGTGACATTGGACACTTTAGGGCCTAACTATCATCTATGAGAGTGACCTAAGCTCTTTTGTATGTCAGTTTTGCAAACAGGACTTAGACTCCTCAATCACTTCTGCAAATTTGACTCCCAGGGTCTTGTCTTCACTGTTTCTCTTTCTAGATTCTAAACTGTAAAAGCTTGTCTGCACATTATCAAGAATCTGTCAGGTACCTCAATTATAATACTGCTATTTCTAACAATGGCTTATGCTGTTGTAGTTTATGGATGAGATCTAACTGTTTGAATCACTCAATGATCTGGTTCAGAGACACATTTATGTCTCGTCTATTACAAAATGGAACTGTATCAGGAACCAACTATATTGCTGCCATACATTTTGCCAGAAGTGAATACAAAAAGGGACACATTTGTGCCCAAACACTTTTGATAAAGTCTGACTGGCATGAATGTTTGTGGGAAATCTATTTTAAGCTTGCACGTGGCTTAAAATTCAGAGTGCATTTTAAATTTACCTATCCTAAGACTACCCCAAACAAACTGGAGTGTAAACGTATGGTGCAGCATCATGTCACATGTTGTCTGTGTTTACTCTGCTACTAAACACTAAAAGTCCCCTAGATCGAAGTGCAGAACCAGGATCCATGAAAATAGCTAGCACACTGCATATTTACTCCCCAGCTTACTGCATACTGTTTAGCTAAGCTCTTAGGTTCTTCTATCCCCCATCACCCTAGAACCCCCGTGCCTCACAATAGCCTGTGATATACACAAGTACTATTATAGCCTTTTTACAGAAGGGGAACTGAGGCACACACGGACTAAGTATGTGGCAGAGGAGAGATTTGATCCCTGGTCTCCCTAGTGTTGGCTCGTACCCTAACCAATGACTTCTAAATTTAGTTTCTACATGAATTTTCATCTCTTCTGAATGCAATCATGTAACACAGACACTCCCATATTGCCCCATGGAGCTAAGCCAAGCTCCTTTGGTTTGGGGGATTTAACCACAAGATGCAGGGAAAACTGAACTAACAAATGCCTTCTACTGACTTTCAAAGACAAACCAATATGAAAATTGTAGACTGTTCACCAATTGTTCCATCTGCAACAGAGATAAAACTTGCAGAATAAATTACTAGTTCCCAATTATTCTCTTAGTTCTAGAAATCAGTTTGGTCTTGAGAGAGAGGGGTGTAGGGCAGTGTTCCTTCTAAGCTGCTGGGCAGCAGAGCTTCACAGGTGATTAATCAGCCCTGCCCAGTCAGTCAGTCAGCTCAGAGCATGAAGCTCTGAGCCTCTGACTGGGAGGGGCTGATTAATCACCTATGAAGCAGTGCTGCTTAGGGGGAATCACTGGTTTAATATTGAAATCCCCACATCCATAAAACAGTTGAGTAGAGCAGAAAGGAATTCCCACTGCAGCCCAATTCAACCTTTCTTTGAACAAAAGCAGTCGATACTAACCAGGTAATTGCAAGGGCGCCATTTCGGGAGGGGAGGGGGCAGCAGTCGTGCGCTCCAGGACGCGGCTAGCTTTTCATCCCATTCCCCGGCCAGGTGTGAGAGGCATGCTCGGAATGCAAGCACTTTCCCCTCACTCCTTTAGCGTCCGGGAATGGGATGAAAAGCTAGCCGTGTCCTGGAGAGCACTGTTGCTACCTCCCCTACCCTCCCAAAATGGTGCCCTTGGGTAACTGAAGAAAGTGACATAATCCTTAGGTCACCTCATTGGTATGCATGTCTGTGCTGCCTCTGGCATTGAGCCTCCCAACCCTGGTAAACATGTGTGTGGCAGTGGAGCTCAAGCTACCACATTGAAGCTAGCACAATGGATATTGCCACTCTGCTAGCAGCTCTGCTCTCAAGCCCACTTGACCCTCTGGGTTTGAGCTCAGGTGGTGAGCACGTCTCCACAAGAGCTGCAATGCCCACAGCACACGAACTGTTCACCAGTGCTGCAAGGCTCACTCCCAGGAATTGCTATGGTCTGAGAACAGCAGAAGATCTCACAGGCCTATTAACTAAGGACAACCACTGTTAAACACAATGTCCAACTATCTTAGCATTTTCTCTGTGTGAGAGGGAGGGGAAAAAAAGGGCTAAATTGAACCCAGTGGGCCAATTATGCACTCCATACCGGGTTACAGTTAACCAGGGACAGTTTTCAGCACAAAGTTCTTGGTCTAATGTCCTCATACAGTATTCAATAGATGCTGCATGTAAATTATTAAATAGATATACTGTCATTTTCATGAGCATGTGAACACACCATTTCATAAGCTCTTCAAAGGCAGAAGAGCTTTTTCCTTCTTTCCATAATCTCAGCAATTTTGATTACTATAAACCTGCTTCCCCCCAATGACACTTTTATTCATACTCACCACTTAAGTGAGAGGTCTCTTACTGAACTGGTATGGAGATACCCAGCTGACTTTGTTCCAGATACTGGTATTTTTAACTGCAGATATAGAAGGTAGTTTGACACTTTCAATGACTGATGTTAGCAAAATGAATGTCTTGGTCCTTCTTTTAGTCAATATGATAAAACTGAATCACTCCCACAATTTTAACATAGCTACACATCAGCATTTCAGCACTTTGGAGAGTTTCACTAAACGTTTTAATGGATCTGTGTATTAATTTAGTCATACACAAATTGGTATAAAATAATTCTACATTATGACTGCAACTGTTTAAAGAAAGTCACACTCAAATATCTGAGCTTAAAACCATTTTTTGCTAAGTGCTAGGAGATCCATTGATGACAAAAGTTTATTACATCAAATACAAACACAAAGGCTAGTATATTCAAAACCACACTATTAAATTAATGGGAATTGGGGGTATTCAAAACCTGCAGCAGCACTGAAAATTCTACAGTTAAAATACTCTAACAATGAATTAGGCTACATCTGCATTTGCTAAAACATTCAATATGTCTGGAAAAAAATATGTTTTATGTCTATTTTTGACAGACCACTAGAAATAGCAATGCTAAGCCTTCTCAAGAAGGTTTATCTGTCAGGGGTTGGGCATGCTCTAGAGGAGGTACAAAAGCCCTTGCACCATGTGAGAAGCTTTGTCATGCTGTAACAAACTACTTTTGCTGATTAAGGATCATTAACTGGTTTTGTTTCCCCAATGAAATAATGCTCCTCATTATAGAGGTCACTGAGTGAAATGGTGGATAAGAAAGCAGTTGGTTGGTCAGAGGAATGAATGTGACTTCATCCTGAGTTATCTAAATCTTTGTAATATTCTTAAAGGTGAATGAATTGGAGGTTGATGGATCCCCCTTGTAATCTATATAAAGAAAGCTTGACTTTTTTTGGTCTGTGCTTTTTATATTTGAAATTGAAGTCTTGCCACTGGAGAAAAAGGAAATCCATAACATCACAGATATCATGCAAATGGATCCTGACTTTTCACTGAAAAGAAAAGGGAATTTCATTCAGTCTGTTTATAACTTGCTTTTTTTTCCCTTGGTTAACATCTTTTAACTCAAATGCCTTACAGCCAGCTGGAAAAAAGAAATCTGTCAAAGATTCAACGCCTTTCATTAACGGCTCTTTTCATTAATAGCTTTGAAAGCTCTTAGGGTGCATCTGAAACCTCCTATAAACTTAGGAAAGATCAGACTACATGCCCTTTACTTTCACTTTTGTTTTTTGTTAAGTCACTGGCTCTCTACACTAGTGGTTCTCAACCAGGATACGTGTACTGCTAGAAGGTATGCAGAGCTCTTCTAAGGGGAATATCAACTTATCTAGATATTTGGCTAGTTTTACAAAAGGCTAGATTTAAAAAAAAAAAAAAGAAAAACCACCACTAGCAAAGTCAGTACAGATTGAACCTCTCTAGACTAGGACTCTGGTTTGGCAATATCTGTGGTCTGGCAGGACCACAAATGTTGCCAGACCAGAGAGCTCCTGGACCAGAGAGCCCCAGAGGCTGGCAGCGGGGAGCAGCTGGCTATGGAGCCTCAGCAGCCCCAGGTCTGGCCGTAGAGCCTGGCTTCCTGGGGCAGTGGAGCCCCAGAGGCCCCCAGGAAAGGTAGAGTTTGGGGCTGGGAGCCCAGTGGTTCAAGGAAAGGGGAGCCTCATGATTGGCTGACAGAGCCCAGAGTCCATCAGCAGAGGTGCCGACCTCGCTGGTTTGGCAAACTCTCGTCTTCTGAACCAATCCGGTCCCAAGGGTGCTGGGCCAGAGAGGTCCAACCTGTACAAACTAAAATTTCGTACAATGACTTGCTTTATATTGTGCTAGACAATGAAATGCAAGGACAATATTTGTATTCTGATTCATTTTATAATTATATGGTATCAATGAGAAAACAAGCAATCTTTCAGTAATAGAGCCTTGTTGCACTTTTGTATTCCTATGTCTGATTTTGTAAGCGAGTAGACTCTAAGTTGTAAAACAAATCAGATTGAATGTGTTACAACAGCTTGAAAAGGTTGAGAGCCACGGATCTACACTGACGTAAAACTCTAAAGCAGACACAGTGGCCTTTAGCTTCCTAGCTTCATGTTGCTTCAAATGAGTGTAAGCTGTGCTGGTGCTAGTCATGCTCTATAGTTGTGCAACATGGCTACATCAGAACTCACATCTTCAAAAGCACTCTAAGTAACTTATGTACATTGAAAGTCAGTTGCTTGTAGATACCTAAGTGATGTAAGTGCTTTTGAAAATTGTATCCTCTGACGTTATAAGTGGCATAGCTACTCCTGGAGCTAAAACCCCCAAGGTAGGTAAGGACTTAAGTAAAAATAAAAAACAAGCAAAAAAAATCCGTTTGTAGGGTATGGTGAACCCTTTATACCTCACAAAAAAGCAACAGTGGGTGCACTGCACACACCATTTCTTTTCCTTTAAGAAACTAATTACGACAATAGGAAGGAGTAATTCTTGCTATTTCCTTCACTACCAAATATTGAGATACTTCAGTGCCTTTGAAAATTTCACCCTAAGGGTACGTCTACACTAGCCCCCAGATCGATTTAGGGAGGCTGAGGGGGACCGGAATTGCAAATCAAGCCTGGGATTTAAATATCCCACGCTTGATTTGCATGTTCCTGGCTGGTCACCATTTTAGAAATTGACTAGCCCGAAGTAACTCCCCACATCTACACGCAGCGGTGAAACGGGATTCTGGAATAAAGCCCCTAAATCGAATTAGGTGGTATTCCTCGTGGAATGAGGTTTACCACCTAATTCGATTTAGGGGCTTTATTCCAGAATCCCGTTTCACTGCCGCGCATGGGCAGTTATTTCGAGCTAGTCAATTTCTAAAATGGTGACCAGCCAGGAACATGCAAATCAAGCGTGGGATATTTAAATCCCAGGCTTGATTTGCAATTCCGGTCACCCTCAGCCTCCCTAAATCGATCTGGGGGCTAGTGTAGACGTACCCATAGTGGGTAATGAGCACTAATCCTATGGGACCTGTGACCTAAATCACTTTAGTTGCTCTTGAAAAAAATCTCTCCCTTGTTCTCCTCTCCACCCTTACTATCCACTTACAGAAGAATTTTAAGAGCCACGTGTAACCGGCAGGCAGGCTCACTGATCTTACCTGTGCTCCTTCCATGTCCACACGATTATTCTTGTCTGTCAGTCTGATGTAGTGGACTTTAAGAGGGGGAGCCCCCAGTGCTTCTAGGGCTGCAGGATCATTCTTAAGCTGCTCAATAGCCAGCTGATAATATTGCATCCTTGCAAAATTTTCTAGATAAAAGAAACAGACCATTTTGGAAAGAAGTCATTGCCCCCATCGCTATATTTACCTGCACAGCTGCAGGTACCAGTGATCCCAGCTCCCATCGTGGATCGCTGTTCCTGGCCAATGGGAGTCACAGGAAGTGGTGTCCTGATCTGCCCCACTTTCCAGTGCTCCTATTGGCCACGAACGACAACCTGCAGCCAATGGGAGTTGTGATTGCCACAGCCATACAAGTAAATATAGTCCTAGGTTTTCCTTGCTCTTCAGTCATCTTAGCACATGAAGATGAGGAAAGGAAACCAGAACTTCAATGAGTCCTCTTGAACTGCACAGGTGCTTAGCTCTCCTGAGTTAACAACAAGCCTTTAAAGTTAGAGAAATGAAGCTGTATTAGCTTGCAAGTCAATGTAGTAGCTTCAGTTTCTGTTTGACGCTAATGAAGAGAGAAAATCTCATTAAAGGCTGTGCTTTAGTGATTAAAAGCCCAATTGGTCTATAATCAAAATATCAAACATTATGTGGTTATCAATGTCACACCGATGCAATGGTCCTTAATAGGTTATACATATTGAATTTGCATGCTGCACTGGAACAAGGATTTTAATGATTATCAATAGCCACATAAATTAATTGGATTGTTCAGCTAATACATTTACTTTCTTTAGCAGAGAGAGAGTGAAAACAAGTCCTTAGCTTTTCAAATCAATGTCAAACTATGTGAAACTATGTTAAGAGAAAATGCTAATATCCCTGTTAAATCCAGACACTCTATTTTAAAAATACGTCAGGCTTCTAAATTGGCCTGAGCTGCAATTCAGAACTAAAGGGTGTGAGTTGTCTGAAATATGAGGTGGCTTTTCAACACTGTCCAATTTGTTATTAAAATGTCAAATTAAGGAAAAGTTTAATCGACTGAGAGCTTCAGAAAGGGGTTTGACCACCCCTTTCTGGCTATGTCCTCCGATCTAAGGCTAGGCAAAAAGCAATATGAAATGATAGTAGATCCTCAAAGTTATGAACTCCAGAGTTACGAACTGATCAACCCCACACCTCATTTGGAACTAAATACAGCCAGGCAACAGCCGAGACCAAAAAATAAATACTGTACAGTACTGTGTTAAATAGAAACTACTAAAAATAAGGGGAAGTTTTAAAAAAAATATTTGACAAGGTAAAGAGACTGTTTCTGTGCTTGGTTCATGTAAATTAAGAAGGTTAAAAACAGCATTTTCCTTCTGCACAGTTCAGTTTCAAAGCTGCATTAAGTCAGTGTTCAGTTGTAAACTTTTGAAAGAACTGTAATGTTTTGTTCAGAGTTACAAATGTTTCAGAATTATGAACAACTTCCATCCCCGAGGTGTTCAGAACTCTGAGGTTCTACTAAACAAGGGAAAGGCCCGGGAGGGGTAGCGCATTAAATAAGTGGAATCAAAGTCTGTTGCTTCAGGACTGCTAAATGTCTGGAAGTCACTAAAAAAGAAAATCAATTGCTTGAACTAATTCCATGAATAATTCTCGGCCAGTTAAATTCAGCAAGGAGATCTGTTTGTTGTCTAATTGACAGCATCATTTCTCTAGGCTTCTGTCTAAGGCCCCAATGAGCACTCTTAACTGCTGTAGATTGCAATAGAGTCTGATGCTCAGCACCTCAAAAGATCTATTTTGAGGGAACAGCACCATAAACTGGATGGTGTTACAAACTGATCAGAATTCTAACAGGTTCATGTTTTCCTATTTAAGCGGTGGTCTCCCGTCTCCTACCCCACATCTCCCAGACATGGCCATTTATTTCTAGACTCACCCTACATCTGTTTTGTTCAATGAATCCTTCTGAGACTAAAGCAACCATGCTTTAGAGAGAATTAATACGGGAGTTAAATAAAGCCAGGTCTGTAAAATGAGGGCAGATGTGATTAATAAAGCTCTTAAAGCTCTGCTGCTCTTCCCCATCCATGTTTATCAGAATCTGAACTATTCTTATTTGTCAGCTGTACAAAGGGGAGTGATGTGGCGAGGGGAAATAAGGTTGCTAACAGCAACAGGACTTACTTTGCATAAGATAATACATCATAGCACATCCCCCACCACTGAGCAGTCCCAGATAAATAGCCATTTGTTGTAGTTTTCTTAAGGAGGCTGGCATCTTTCCACCTACAAAGAGAGAGAGACCAACATTTACTTTAGCAGGAAAACTAAAAGGTGTGGTTGGTTTTTTTGGTTGTGTGCTTTTTTGCCCAAAGTTCTTTCAATATCCCAACAAAATAAGTCTGAATGAATCACTGCATGCAGCAATCAAGCTCTCTCTGGGGCCCCACAGTGTATCCAGAGGAAATCCATGATGAGAACTGGGCACCTACAGGGGCCAGAACATATTTATTCACTTCCTTTAGCAGTGCCACCACTTCAGGGAGGTCATTTTTTTCTCGGCAATTAGTGGAGTGGCTGATGGCCAAAAACTTAGCATATTGTTCTCACAGCTTCCCTTACATACTCAGTAGCACAGTGCAAGTATTCAGGGTTGAGGGGCCAGATTTATCCCTAGTGTAACTCCTCTAAAATAATTATGGCTTGCACTGGAGTCCATTTAGCCTGAAAACCTAAGCTACAGAGCCAAGCTATAGCACTGCTAGTAAACATAATGCTGATGAGGTTTTGTTTTTTTTAAGTCTCTGGTAAACAAGAAGATTCTTGCAATCCTATTTTCTTTTAATCCTTCCCCTTTCACCATCCTGCCCATTTACTGACTTTGTTGTTGCATCCAACTGTCTGAATGACACAGCAGTGTAACAACTATCTCCTAAAGAGTCAACCAAGTAGAAGATCTATGGCTTTGGCTACCAAAAGGTAGTGCTAAAACAGATGACCAAGAGAATCCCATCTAACACTCTTCCTCATGTTACTCTTTCTGCGCAGGTTGTGGCAGGATGGGCCATAAACAAGCATCTGAATAGCTGTTTTCTGAAACATTTCTATCACAAAAATGGGATAATGGACTCTTGGGTGGGGAGTCATGTCAGACATCAAACATAGTCCTGTTGACTGAAGAGTGCAGATGTCTGGAGTTAGGCTCAGCGTTGCTACTGGATTAGTGGCCTTCAAGGTTTCAAACCCAAACCTTTGCCCTGCTGACACTATGCAAATGGGCTGCTTAGGTAATGCTGTTTAATGAAGCGCAGCACAAAGCCAATTACAGAAATATGAACTAAGCAAAACCACTTAGTACAATTTATGGGAGTGGCCAGAATATCTCCTACATATGAATTAGTCAGGCCTCAGGAATCACAGTTTAAGAGGGTGGAGTGACAAACAAAGGAAGGCTTTCCCATAATGCTACACACCAGTACATGACATCAGCATTGTGTCTAGAACATTCCACCATGATGCCTCAGAGATTGACTAATTGCCTGAGTTTCCCTTTCCTACCCTCTCAAGTTTTCTAGCTGAGGGAAAAAGAGGGATTTAATAATTAATCCAGATATAACTTTTGTCTATTGCTTAATGTGCATAAACAACTTTTAACATTGTGTCGTATCATTTTAAAGTCTTCTCTGAAACCGGATTGATGAAATCAGAATAATACGTAATACTTTCATAGCCCCAGAACTCCTGGAAATTTAATCCTCTGAATACCCCTCTTCAGTAGGCAAGTAAGTTGCAACATCTGTAAAACGGTGATCAGAGGCAGAAAGATCAGGGAACGTTAAGTCCACACAAGGACCCAGTTTCAGAGCAAAGAATAGGCCCCAGATCGGCACTCAGACCATTAGACTATTGGAGCATGACAACCCTCACTAACCTACTGTCTTTAATCTGGAAAGCTGATCATGTGTAACATGCTGCAACCTGAGGCATTTATGTCCCTTTCAAGACCATGGCCTAGAACTGCCAGGCATAATTTTCTTCTTGCAGTGACATTCAAGGTAATAGTACACAAATGTCTGTGCCCAGGGGCAGACAGCTTGCTGAGGAAAACAGAGAAAAACTGAAATCTAGCATCAGTGAAATGTGAATTATCTAGTAAGAAGGTGGAATCAAAGGATCTGCTGCTTGCAACCAAATTGTCTGTGATTCTTTAGTTATCACAGTCTGATCAATGCTCAGACAAGCATGATGGAGGGGGAGAGGCATCTATGTCAATTAACAAGATGCTCATTACATACACATGCAATAATCTTTGCCTTTTTTTATATATCTTGTCCAGTTACGTCTCTGCCGGGTCACGGTCTGCACAAACAATAACATTTTCCCTTTTGTGCAGCATTTCCCTTTTTGCTCCCTCATGGAAGCAAGAGACTCAGCTGCTTAAATATCACTTATAAATGTAAAAACGAGCTTTACACGTAGTTTGTCAGAGTGAATTATGAACTCAATAGCTACTGCAGTGCTCTCAATCACACTATCTAAGGAACTTCTATGCCCGCCCCTTCCTCCCTCCATGGGCAGAGTGTCTGAACACTTGGCAATCTTTAATGGATTTATCCTCACAACATCCCTCCACAGCTGGGAAGAGCTCCTACCCCCCCTTTACATAAGGGAAACCAAGGCACATAGGGAGACTTGGCCAAGTCTCACAGGATCTGTGGCACAGCATGGCTTCCCAACTCTTAGTTGAGGACCCTAACCCATCCTCCCTAACCCATCCTCCCACGTCTTGTCTGCTGTGACGATATATCATTGGGACAGAAGTTACAGTAGGAGATTCAAAAAGCCAAAGATAATTATTTTAATGCATTTTAACAATAAGTCTCTCAAGAGCTGAAAAGCAAACTCCTGATTTTTCTCTTCCCCCAGTTAGCATTGCATTTGTCAGTTACCATCTACACTATAAGTGAATTAAACAGTAACTTTCTTGTTGTGTGGTTAGCTGATGAATGGTGTGACCAGAGCATGCACATACAACAGGACTTTCAGAGATAAGTTTTTAATAGCAATGTATGGACTTGTTTGTACAGCAAACTACACCCTGCTGTGCCCTTGTTCTGTGGTTAAGGTGTAAATTTTCATGGAATTTTAGTACTTCACCTGGGGTTAATTTCCTTCCCTTAATCGGGATGGCCACCAATGAACTATAGGGCTAAAAGAATCCATCAAAACATTTAACTCCCTTAAGCAACAACTAGTGACTTTTTAAGTCTGACCTATAAAATACAAGTTGAGAAATAGGATTGGGGTTCCCAAACATGCTTTAAGGTATGGATATTTTCATGTTGGTTCTGCTGTATTTGCCATTTCATCTGGTTTTTGCAAACATTAATGTTTGCATTAATGAAAGGGGGAGGGGGAGAGCATGCATTGTGGAGACTAGCGAACAAGTTGGGAACCCTGCTGTCTGGAAAGGAATCTGAGAGGAAATGTACCTGTCATTCACAACACAGGGAGTCATAGTAACAAGGGGTAAACAATGAGGTTTCAGAAAATCAGAGCAGGCCTTATAAACACAACAACCAGAATTCAGGATATTGGCAATTTAGTAATTTTACTTCTCCTTACCAGCCATTTTCTATAAAGATGTGTTTGCAGCTAGAGTGTGAACCTGTTAGACTGCTAAAATAGCAAGCAAGTTAGCTTGTGAAGAAATCTCTGCTTATTTTTCACAACTGATAGTTTCTTCTGTGAACTTTTGCTTTTAAATGACGAGAGGGGGGTGCGAACAGCTTTGCAGGTTGACATAATGCACATGAAAGAATGCCAAATCTGCAGTATCAAAAGAACAGCTGTATGGTTCTCCCTACCTATGGGTATGTCTAAACTACATGGCTCCGTTGACGGAGCCATGTAGATTTGTTTGTTCGGCAAAGGGAAATGAAGCCGCAATTTAAATAATCGCGGCTTCATTTAAACGTCGGCTCAGCGCGGCAGCCAAACAGCTGATCAGCTGTTTGTCAGCTCAGCGCGCTAGTCTGGACGCTCCCGCGCCGACATGAAAGCCCTTTATCGACCTCCCCGGTAAACCTCATCCTACAAGGCATAATGGGGAGGTCGATAAAGGGCTTTCAGGTCTGAGTGGGAGCTTCAGACTAGCGCGCTGAGCCGACAAACAGCTGATCAGCTGTTTGTCGGCTCAGCACAGCAGCCATTTAAATTTAAATGAAGCCACGATTATTTAAATCGCGGCTTCATTTCCCTTTGCTGATCAGCCTAATCTAAATGGCTCCATCGATGGAGCCATGTAATTTAGACACACCCTATACGTCCTCTTAAAAAGATAACCAGTCTGAAAGCACAGCCTTCTAATCACTAGGCAGCTTTATTTCACACAATGAGAATATAATGTATAGGGCCAGGTGGTGGTGGTGATGCTTGGTTATGGTTCGATTTAAAGCTAACAGACTCAGGGTTGGAGTTCTATAGCACTGAAATATTGTAAGTCCAGAGTGGTGACCATCTCACAAGTTCCTTTCAGCTCTCTCAAAGGGTGGATTTCTATCAAAAGCAGCTGTTCTCAGGAGACTTTGGCTTGTGTTAACTGAGCTGGAGGCCTTTCGGCGAGGACATTTGGCTTCAGAGAGTCTCTGGAACTTTAAGAAATTGGGATACATATCTTTCTGATTATTTAAGACCTTATCTTTCAGTCCTCATTGAAGTTGGACAAACATTCCTCCACAGGTGCAGAAGAGTAGCAATGAAACAAATGGCACTTCCACTAGGTGAAGTGTGAGTATAATATCACAGTTGTAAATATCTTAGATGACAGTCACTGAAGTCACAAAATGCAGAATCACAGTTCTTTAGGGACAGTTTGTTTATACAGTTACTAGCAGAGTGGAGTTCTGATCCATGACAGGAGCTTCACTGAGGGAGCTGTACAACCTCTTATGTAATCATTGATGATTAGCTTTCCGACTTGCTCACTCGTCCCATGCCTGTGTGCAACACAAGCACACACAAATGTGCCATAAATCCATTCTGCCAGAGGTTTTTAAACTCGGGAGCAGTGATTTTTTTTTTCTTTCAATAAGCAGGGTGGCTCCTGCACCCAATACAATGTGGCCAAATGCTGAAATTTGAGGCATTTGTAAGACAAACATGGCTCTTGTAAGACAAAACAGTGAGTCGTTTGATACGTACGAGGTAGCTGGCTCTGATCTAGTTTCTCTCCTAACAACATACCTGGACACACAGGGCTTTGGAGAAGGTTGGCTGATAGTGCC